TATTGGGGTTGATCTGCATCGAAGAGGAATGAAGTGCTGATGGGGCTGGAAGAGTTCACATTGGACTAGCATATTGAACGCGTTCTTCAACAAACTCTCCCCATCGATCATTTTTCCCTACATGCACAGTAAGAGTTTATTTTCGGCTAACAAGGTACCAAAGGAGTTTGATTTATAGAACTATGATCTGGTACCATGTAGAATTATGAGATTGTATTCATATCTTAATGTACATATTTACACAAGTCAGTGACTTGAGATACAAGTAAGTTACTTGATTTATAAGAATACAAGTGACTTGAGATACAGTAATCATATCCTAAGCATGGAATCCTTAGAGGATTCTCCCTCTGTAACATCTTCCCATTGATGGCTTCTATTGAATGAATATGTTCACATAGTCCTAACTTTTCCTTTGAATTGTGAATTATTTACAATTTACAGCTTCAACTTTCAAATCTTCTGGCAAATCTCAAAACGATTTGTGGGCCCAAACCATAAGAAAATGACTTTCACGCAACGAAGATGCTATATTATCAAGTCAAACATATATTGTCACATGAAAAAGTTAAAACACATAACAATGCGTAATTGGTTTGAGATATCGTCACAATAACGTCAGTCTAGTCTCGAACAATGAGCCCCATGAGGCAAATATGTGACCTTTGGACTTTTGACAATTGGAAAAGGCACAAGCAGACATACCTGTGCTTAATGCCTAAGGCGAGGTGCAACTACAAGTTCGCCAAAATGCCAACCCAAGCCAACAAAGTCGGTCACATTTCCATTTCAACTGCTGACAAAGGATGCTTCATCTGTTATAATCATAAAATCAAAGTAGTGTCAAAAGCATTTATAAACCAACAAATTTAGAACTTTCTGATTGCATTTACACGTATACTATAAATCATTCCTAGGTAGCTCATGGATGGAAGAACAACTTACATAATAAATGTCCGCCTTCACTTAGCGTTCTGTGTCAAATAAGATGTGTGGACAAAAATTTACAGATATTTTATTAGCACAAAACGTTTATGAAATTATAAGAATATACTCGTGCCATATAAATTATTATCCACGAATGAAAATAAAGAACAACTTCGCACGTGAGTGTCCCATGACAACTTAGTCTTCCAGTAATGCCATGTGGCATGAGAGAGATGGAGAGGGAGACAGAGAGACAAAGACAGGGAGGTGTATCCATGTGACCGACTCATCGGCCTTTATACTAATTAAGATGAAAAGAACGAACAAAGCGAAGTAAACAACTTGACAAAGTCGAATGAAATTTAATATCTGACATAGTCGAATGAAATTTAATTTCCTGTAAAGGGCCTTGAGCTTTGTACTCGACGCCTCACGGCTGCCGGTGCAATGTGATTCTCAAAAACATACGGTTAAATTATAATACCAACTAATATTACGATTTAATAAATAACGACAACATATTTGATTCATTATATGACCTAGCTCTGTATCTTTTTCGATTTCATCTTTTTTATTCGTCATTTGGGTAGGAATAAACCTATTCACAAAATATGAAACATGGTTCATGAGTTTCAAGTGTTTATGCATGCTTAAATTTTTTTACTACTAAATTGTTCATAACAATTCTGATTTCAATTATAATATAAATAAAAAGTAAAACCACATAACACTTCATATTTATAAGAACATATACGTTACATTTCACGCAAACAAGATACAAATTAGAAAAATTAGAAATCAAAATCCAAGAAGAACTCTTCCAACACACAACACGACAAATTACGGAAATTTCTTTGGGTTGAGAAAATCAAACAAAAAAATCCAAACCAATCCAACGGAGAGAAATTAAAAAAGAAAAACTTGATAAGAAGATGATAATGTTGAAAGTTGCCGCCTTCATGGCTTCTCCTCCTCCGCACCACCTCTTTATTTAAACCTTAAATTAATTAGTAATACACAACTCACCTGACCTGTCTCTCCACTCGCACTCCCTAATTATAGTCTAATCCCCATTTAACATTTTTCAAATTAGTTTCTTGTTTCTTACCGTTTGGACCTCGCACGTTATCCTCTCTCTCTCTGACTCTGTCAAGTTTCTCTCTCTCTCTCTCTCTCTCTCTCTCTCTCTCTCCCCCCATTTCTGCTTGGCTTCTGTGGTGGCATTCTGAGATCTGGTGGTGGGATCCGACGATCAAAGGTGAGTTTTATCATCTGGGTTTTGCCTCAATGTGGATGGTTTTTGCTTTTTGCTGTGAAATTTGATTCGAATCTTCGAAAAGATTAATGCTTCATGTAAATCTGCATCTGGGTTTTGTGTGGTTATCGTTAATCTTTGAAAAAGTTCAATGCTTGATGTAAATCTGCATATGGGGTTTGTGTGATAATTTTGTCTGAAAAAAAAAATTTCTGTAGTGAATTCTGATTTGGGATTACTTTGTTGGCGGTAAATTTAATCTGCAAACGATAAGAAAAACAAAAAGTTTGGAACTTTCCCGAATCAAAGTCTGAAGCTTTTATTCTAGTCCTTGGATGCAGGAGCCTTAAGTTTTTGCGTTCACTTTTTTTTATTTTTTTTTAGGAGACAAGGTGATTTATAGGTGTAAATCAAACGTTTCTTTGTAGTGGCTTATAAACGTTAGAGAAATGGTGTACATTTAAGGATTTCTGGCCCAATTTCTATTGAAAATTTGTGCGAATTGAGGCGTGTTGAAGTATATTGTGATACCTTTGTTATTGTGCTTTTAGAAATTGACTGGTATTATGATCTTGAGGTCATTTGATCTGATCCATTTTGTTGTATATTATCTATCAGGGAAAAATGGCAGACCCGAAACCTGACACACCCTTGATCCCACCATCGTCGTCATCACCATCCTCGTCAAGAAACCTCCCCGACTTCAAAAATTCAGTTAAACTGAAATATGTGAAGCTTGGGTACCATATTCTCATCACCCATGGAATGTACCTCTTTCTTTCCCCTCTTGTTGTCGTTATCGCTGCCCAGATTTCAACATTTTCTCTCAAGGATCTTTATGATCTTTGGGAGCATCTCCAGTACAACCTGATTTCAGTGATTATCTGCTCGACTCTCCTTGTTTTCCTATCCACCGTGTACTTTGTCACCCGCCCTCGCCCGGTGTACCTTGTTAACTTTTCGTGCTACAAGCCAGAAGAATCTCGAAAATGCACAAAAAAGATTTTCATGGAACAGTCTCAGATGACTGGTACATTTACAGAGGACAATCTTCAGTTCCAGCGGAGGATCCTTGAGAGATCCGGCCTTGGTGACTCGACTTACCTTCCAGAGGCAGTTCTCAACATTCCTCCAAATCCGTCAATGAAAGAAGCTAGAAAAGAAGCTGAGGCTGTGATGTTTGGTGCCATTGATGAGCTTTTCGCTAAGACAGCTGTTAAACCTAAGGACATTGGAATCTTGATTGTGAACTGCAGCTTGTTCAATCCAACCCCGTCTCTTTCTGCCATGGTTATCAATCATTACCAGCTTCGAGGGAACATAGTCAGCTATAATCTTGGTGGGATGGGATGCAGTGCAGGTCTGATCTCGATCGATCTTGCTAAAAATCTTCTTCAGGTGCATCCCAACTCCTATGCACTGGTTATCAGCATGGAGAACATCACCTTGAACTGGTACTTTGGAAACGACCGCTCAAAGCTTGTCTCAAATTGCTTATTCCGGATGGGAGGGGCAGCTATATTGCTTTCCAACAAAAGCTCAGACAAAAGAAGGTCCAAATACCGATTGGTTCATACTGTTCGCACTCACAAAGGTGCTGATGATAAGTGCTTTAGCTGTGTTACCCAAGAAGAAGACGATAATGGGAAGATTGGTGTTACTTTATCAAAGGATCTGATGGCAGTAGCAGGTGATGCTCTAAAGACCAACATCACCACATTGGGGCCTCTTGTTTTGCCAATGTCCGAACAGCTGCTTTTCTTTGCGACATTGGTTGGGAGGAAACTTTTCAAGATGAAGATCAAACCATACATCCCGGATTTCAGGCTAGCTTTTGAGCATTTCTGTATCCATGCTGGAGGGAGAGCAGTCTTGGATGAATTGGAGAAGAACCTGCATCTATCCGATTGGCATATGGAGCCATCAAGGATGACACTCCACCGATTTGGAAACACCTCAAGCAGCTCTCTTTGGTATGAATTAGCTTACACAGAAGCCAAGGGAAGGATGAAGAAAGGAGATAGAACATGGCAGATAGCTTTTGGATCGGGATTCAAGTGCAACAGTGCTGTGTGGAAGGCTCTTAGGAGCATAAACCCAGCAAAGGAAAAGAACCCATGGATGGATGAAATTGATCGGTTCCCAGTCGATGTTCCAAGGGTGTCAACCTTCTAATTTGAAGTAATGTTTTCCATTCTTATGCCGCCGGATTTAGGTGGCTTTTGCTAGCTTTCTCTCTGTCTGGAGGTCTTAGAATTGGTTTTCTTTGCTTTGCCATTTCTGGAGGTTCTAGGAAGTTGATTGTTTCTTTTAGGGCAGATGTTTGGTGGTTTAGGGTGGAAAGATCGCAGCCAAATTTCACTTACAAGGGGATTGTCTGAGTATTGGTGTTTTGAGGACATTAAATTCGAGCATTTCGAATTAGGATTCGGGGTTGTGGAATGGTTAACATGTTGTAAATCATAATTTGGATGGAATTGAAAGTTTGGACTAATTCAATTTAGCCCTCTTTGTTTTGATTGTTTTTGTTATCTTTGGTGTGAGGTTTGCTTGTTTTTAATTGTTCTGGCATAGAACAGTCGAAGCGTTTTCCGCAGAAGCACTTGTGAATTCATTTCCAAATGCTTTTCCAAGAAGCACTTGGATTTTAGCAGAAGTTTCAACAATTTTATGTAAAGAAAATCACTTCTACTAAAAACGCTTGTGAGGACAAGCACTCGACTAAAAGTCCGAAATGGGCACTTAAAAAGTCTTTCATTTTTCACCTCATGGCATATGAAAAGTGCAACTCGAAGCTCTAACGGGCAAACCAACAGCATCAGCAACCAAATTCATGCAAATCACAGATTGGTACATCTCTGTATAAGGAAACAATAACAACAGGTATTCCGAACATGTCTCTGATAAAATCATGACAATGTCACGCGATAACCCGATTTCTAAAAGCACGCCTAAGATTGTTGGACAATGGCATACAGAATCTGGAAGATTAAGAAGCCGAAACAACAAATTAAGCGTGTCATTAAAGTCGCTAAGAGACTCTGTTCCTTGCAGAAACTTGGCACTCTTCTGCAGCTGTAGTCCGTTTTTATTAGCTACTCCTTGGTCGACTTGTTGATAAGTGACTTGTGGATGTGAGGGATCACACCTCCACCAGCAATGGTTCCTTTGATGAGGGTGTCGAGTTCCTCGTCACCACGAATAGCAAGCTGCAAATGCCTCGGAGTGATACGTTTCACCTTGAGATCCTTGCTTGCATTGCCTGCCAACTCTAACACCTCAGCGGTGAGATACTCCAAGATCGCTGCAGAATAAACTGCGGCAGTTGCTCCCACTCTCCCATTAGCTGTGGTCCTTAACTTCAGAAGACGGTGGATTCGACCCACAGGGAACTACAAATATATAACACATTAGTAAAAGGCAGTATCGACAAACAAAGTTTCCAGCCTCTAGTTATAAAAATCCCACAAATGAGGGGACAAAACAAAAATACGAAAGAAAGAATGAATACGGAACAGGGTTACAGTCCAGACAAACAATTCACTTGAGAATGCCGTCATCTACCCACGAACCACCAAAAAGTAAACCAATATAACAGAAATATGAACCACGAAGGACGACTAATAGTATCAAAGAACCTTAGGATACAGATCAATGGACAATTGCAAGAGCAAGAGAAACTCTAAGTCCAAAGCACTGTGAAAGAAACTACAAAACCATAGGTCCATAGGTGTGGGCCAACGTTTTTCAATACTCTCCTCATGTATGGAAATTACTTTAGTACGAGAGAGACCAACAGATGGAATTCAACAAAAAGTTACAGGTCGCAGTTGCAGGTATATAAACTCAGGATCTCCCCCCTCTCTAATGCCATGATAAGTTTTGTTGGATTTTACGACTATTCCTACAGCTTTAGACGTGGGAATGTGAGCGAACTACCGTATTTATGTTGTAATATATTCTATAACTTAATCCAAGAGAGCAAATATGTCTATGACTAATCATACAAACTAACACAGCGATGAACTTAGGTGAGTTGCAAGTGATTTTACGAGTGAAGAGGCATTCAATAAGAAAAAATTTATTTCGGACTTTCTCTAATAATCCAACCAGATACTAAGAAACCATGAAAATATTTATTTCGGAATTTACTCTAAATTCTGACACATCAACTTTCCGAATCATATCATCCCCAAAAAACTATCTTCCAAAGTTAAACTAGCGATATATCGATGCCCTCACTACTACCATGGTTCAAAGCTCGATTCCAATACTCTCGTGCGAGATTTCCAATTCCTTCCACAAGCCATATCAAATTCAAAATCTTACATTCTCTATATTACACCTAGCATTTTTACGGTTCTTTCCATAAACCCGGGCTTATTGTAAAGAACCAAATCCGATTTATAACTCATTCCATCCACATCCTAAAGGAACCCGACTAAACAAAACTAAATGGAAACCAAGAACACACTGTTTTTGCCACAAAAATAAAATCTTCACCTACATGATTCCGCTTCCCAAAACATGAAACCCCAACAGTTAAAGTGATAACATTTACCGCCAAAACAAGCAAAACCCAAGTCAAATTTCCTTCCTTTTGTCCTCTTTATTTCACAAATTTACTCAAAACTCCTCTCTCAACAGGCAAAAACCCAGATAATCTCAAAACCCCAAACACCAAAATCATAAAATCGAAAAGGGGTAAAGAAGTAAAATAACAACCTGAAGGCCGGCGCGGGAGGAACGAGAGATGGGTTTCTTCTTGTCCTTGTCTTTGCCACCGCTGTTGGTGGCGGTCTTGCCCATAATCAGCCCCTTCGCGCCCTTCCCCGACATCTTTTCCCGCGAAAAGTAACGGATAACGGATTTTCGCCGAGGTTTTATTTATGGGGGAGATTTTAAATCGGATTTTATTCAATGATTTGATTGAAAATAAATAAAAAAAAATCTATCTCTAAAAGCACTCTCTCTCGTTTCTGGTCTCTCCCTAAACCAACACGCAAACGTAATCGCGATTCGCAAATGGTCGGCCGGTCCTTTGGAACCAGCCTACTTATTCAATCCCTCTTTGACCAATTAACCCTCGCACTTTTCTCTATTTACGACCTGTACTTTTTTCTTTTTCTTTATTTTTTTTAATTATTTATCTTTGAGATAATTTTATTTAAGCTTTCTAGTCAAAATAATTCTCACGGCATAATTCCTTATTTTGATTCCTAGCAATGATAATTAACTTGCAAAGAAAAAAAAACAAAGACAACGAAAATCTATAGAAATGATTCCTGAATTTGTCCACCATAAATCATTTTGGTTATTCTATGAAACTGAAGAGGTTGGTTTGATAAAAACACCTTAAAAGGATGGTCACTAGTCTTTCAAATGATAATTTAACAAGGATGCTGACAAATTTTTCACGAAATGATCAAAATGATTTATAATGGACAAACCCAGAAACCATTTCTATCCATTTTCATTGTGAAACCAAAGTAAAGACTCTGTTAAACTCAAGAACTATTTTAAATAAAAAGCTTTATTTATGTCTTAATTTTTTTTCAGGCTGGTGGACTTTTCTCCCGGATTTTGCCTCCGGTCACCGAATAGACAAAATCCAGGTAATTTAGTGGCGAAATTGAAGTTTCAGATAGTAAATTGAGTTACAGCCTTCTAGGGACAGGCCAAATACAAAATTCTAGGTTTCTTAGGTTTATCAGTTTCAGAAGCGATCCGATCATCGTCTTGCATGTACAAATGACCATAACAGAAAAGGGATAATATGCAGTAACGATTCATTTGTCCGGTCGATGTTTTGGTAACGAAAAGCAGTGAGCTAAAAGTTTTACAAAAATTCTTGTTTTAGTCTGTCTATGTAATGAAGTAATCAAACTAGGATGGATAGATCTCAAATATGAAGGGCATTGGCTACATATACTCTTGGACCACTTCACTCGTTCACCGCTGCCTCTTCCTTCTCTTTCGCTTTTCCCTCTTCTGTGATGTGGAACCCCTCGATCTTGTGAGAAACCTCTTCTGCGGGTACCTTCACCTTTCCAACTGACCCATTAGCCTCAGCTTCATCTGGAGTCAAGGGCCCGGTCTGCCATATTCTAATGGTGCCATCTTCAGATCCTGAGGCGTATGATTCCCCTCCTGGCGAGAATCGCAAACAGTGAACTGGACCGTGGTGACCCTTGTTGCATGCTGCATCCAGATACAAATGGATTAACTGAGGGTTCAGAATACGAAACCCAATACAATATCCGAATGATTACAACAACACATGACAGAATGTAAGAGTTTAACCTACAAGGACTATGACTAGAAGGATTCAGATACCGTTAACTATTAGTATTGGAGTTTAACCTACAAGGACTATGACTAGAAGGACTATGACTAGAAGGAACTGCAAATTCACTTAAAACGGATATTTTTGGAACACATACCGATCTCTTCACCAGTATGGAAATCAAATACATGAACCCACATGTCTTCTCCCCCGGCAATGAACTTGTTCCCGAACTTTGTTTCCAGCGAAGCTGATTCTACTGTGCACGGCATGTTGTAGCTCTTCACCAACCCAAAGCTGGAAAACGAGTAGATTATCATAAGTCATCCAGGTAGAAACTCTACCAAAATTCAGAACAATAAAACTGATAACTTACTAATTTGCATCCCAAAACTTCACAGTAGACCCATCAGCAGTAGTGATATAACGACCATCTTGACTCACTTCAGAACTGGTCACAGATGATTTGGTTTCAAGCGTTTGAACTATTTTACCGGTTCTTACATCCCATAATCTGTAAATTCACCGGTCACTACCAAGTTAGTAAAGAAGAAAGTAGACATTATTCGTCTAAAGAACTGTATGTGTGCAATGTAAGAGACTAAAAACTATATCAAATGTAACTTTAACAGGCATGCATACCTGACACCTCCCATATCAGTACAAGAACTTAGTATGGTCTGGTCACTGTGGAGCCATGCAGCAGTTCTGACTGAACCAGGAGATTTATCCACTTCTCTTGGAGGAGCATCTGGACGATTCAAATCATATATACGAATAACTTTCTCTACTCCTCCAGTAAGCAAAAGGTGTGTATCCTGATACCATATGAATATATTTGGTCAATCGATACTCGTATTGATAAGAACCAAATGAGCTTAAAAAAGCACATTCAAGGTAAAAGGATCCAAATATTTAATGTTACAGCACCCATTAAACCAGTTTCCTTTCGGGCATGAAATCTCAGAAATTATTGAACCCGAACCAACATTAACTATATTGGAGACCACATATAATCATACAAATTAAGATCGTGATACCTAACAAGTTACAACCACGCTTGGTAGGTGAAACATAAAAAAGTCTAGCATTATTTTAAAAATCCCCTCTTACCCCAGGATAATACTAACCCCGAATCAGAAAACATTAAGAGTTAAAAAGATAGCTACTTCGAGTGAAGACAATATGTATAACAAGTGCAAGTATGATTGGATATACTGGAATACATCCATTACATTTCATATATCACATTTACCTTGCAACATGAACTTCGACAGCAGATTAGATTCTAGAAACAGAATTTCACATTTTTCATATGATGATGACAAGAGAAATACCTCTGCAAAAGCACAGGCTCGAACAATGTGCTTGTGTTCAAATGAGTGTAGAACATCTCCTGTTAATGCATCCCAAACTTTCCTGCATATAAATTTGATGCACAAAATAAAATCAACTTTTGATCAAACTAACTACAACTTAATTGACTAAACAAGCAATGACAGGAGAATGGGTGCTCTGGTGAGAGAAACACAATGTATAAACATTATTAACCTACTTAATTGTAGAAGGTATCACTGCCCATCATTACTTGTGAAAATAGATATGTCAGATATGGGATATGTTATAGAGAACCAAGATTGAGATGTCCAACGTTAAGGTAAGGAATTTAGCAAGCACAAAAGCCACTTAAAACTTGGGAAACAGACCTTATATAAGCAACGATGAGAAGAATACATGAGTGATGAATGAAAGAAATATAAAGAAAAAATAAAAGAAACTGAGCGGATACTACAGAAATCCTTGACACTTGATTATATAATCAGGTGTATTCAAAATTTTAAGGTAAAAGCACACAAATTTACAAGCAAAACTTTAATCAAAACAGTGCATTAAACTCATTAAAAGAAACAAGAAAAGCAACTGATTGTCCATCTAGGAATGGAAAAGTACAGAACTATAAGGATTAAGACATACGCAGAGAAATCTGCGGAAGCAGTTGCTGCACGCAGGGCGTTAGTATCCAAGCAGCAACTCCACACTGCGCCTTTATGCCCTTCAAATGTTCCAACCCAATCTCCAGTTTCTCCATTTCTCAGCATGGGACTCGAATCTAATCGACACAATTAAAACCTCAGATATAATTTCCCATCAAAACAACTTCAAAAGAATACCACAATATCTAAGAACACTCGTGAACATTAACATGTCACATTCTAAAGCAGGAAATATTTGTTTCAGCTGTGCCATATATCCTAATAACACGATTCACCAGATTTTCACAGCAATGACAATTAACCGTGTAAATTGTAAAGTATCGAGGTTCAACAAAAACACAGAAATTACAGTAATTTGCAGGTAAACAGTAACACCGAAAATAAGAACCCAATGCCAGTTCAACAAATCATATATAAAGCAATTAACTTGCACATTCAAACAGATAGATATACCGCAAATCACACAGTAATGAAGCAATAATATTCATACCCTTACTGGCACTGATGAGAAAGAACCCATCAGGAGTAACCGGACTGTAAAACAGATCCACCACCGGACGCGAATGACCGTGGCAGACCAACGGAACCGCCACCTTCTTCTTATTATCCATCACTCACAAGCTAAATTTAAATAAAAATAAACAAAAAAAAATCCCAAAAGTAAATATGTTTTAATTTTTCTTGATCCGTATGCCAAAACTTCAAAATCCAAAAGAACCCTAACCCTAAAAGTATTCAATTTCGGTATACAGATTGGAACCGGAATCAAAAGATGTTAACTTGGGAAAATTGTACAGGACGATGGAGCGAGAAATTGGCGGTATTTTGAAACAGGTGGGAAATTGAAAGGAAGAATCCACACCTCCTAACCCTCGAAACAACAATGGCTCTGACTGAATCAAAATCTAAAATTTAGGGGAAATTACAGGAAGAAGACGACCTTAATTTTGAAGAAAATAATAATAATTTAATCTAAAAAGAAAACTGGAAATGTTAGAAGAAGAAGAACAGAGCTGGTGTGAGACTAACGAAGGGCTAGGCGCAAGAGCAAGTTCGGCCATTGGGTCTGGATTTTATAGGTTGAGCTTTTTGGGCTTGTTTTGGGTCCGTTTCTGGGCTTTGGATCTCGGTGGTGTGTTTCTTAGGGAAAATATTTGTTGATTATGCACATGAATTTTAGAGTATGATTTATCGTCACGTGTGTAATTGATTGATCGTAGCATTATTATTGTGAAAAACTTAAATTTCAAGCATGCGAGATACTAAAATGACGTTTCTTTTATTAATTTAGTAAAAGAGTATAATCGATTGAGATTGAGTTTCGAAGTACTCCTTGACAACTAACAATTTAACCTACTAATGCTATAGTTTGTAAAGAAAAAGGGTCCGATCTTCATCCATTCATCTGTAGGAAGTGTTATCTCTGCCTCTCGAAATTGAAATTCGCACCAATCGCCTTCATCAAAGAAAACTAACATGGCGGACGGTCTCCGGAACGCAGCTGGCATCAGCAACAATAAGAAGAGACTCCTGTTTTCAAAAAGTCCTCTCCCATCCATAGACTGCGAAGCGTTACTGAATGCGAGAAGAGAGGGAGAGGGATTCAGGCATTG